TGGTATTGTCTCATGTAGAAGGAAGAAATTAGAAGTGCCCAAACCCCAAAACTATCTCGTATAATTCTGTTACTAGATACTAGTAGTTCCAAAAGAACATAGATGCTCTTAGTAGTTATGATGAATGGAAAACTAAGAACCATGCTAAAACAGCCATCCATTGAAGAGATAAAATGTAATCTAACCAGGAGAAAACCAATTTCCTTTAGAGGGCACACTAGCACTCGCTGAGTCTTTTACCAGAGATCTGGACATAAAATTCTGCTGGCCACAGGGAGACAGACCAGAAGTCCAGGATTTAAAGACAAAGCTGTCCATTACTTGGGCATGAGGCTAATTAAAGGACCAGTGTTACACTAATCCAAAAGGGTTCAGATGAGCTAAATTGTCAGTGGAGCTACATGTCGTAGTTGGATTAGTATGTGGTATCCTATTCTAATTGAGCCTTTCCCAGTGCTTTATTCACTCATCTGTTCAGTAATGTATATTGAACCCTTTCTGTGTGTTCACCTTTATGCTATTGTCATATGGAAGAAAATGCTCTGTCCAATTTATTCAATTTGACTTGAAGCCTCTTTCTCTGCTGTTCATCAATAATCATTAATAATACTTGTCTCAACTCCCTCAACAATTTGAGATTTTTTTCCTTCATCATTCTTCATGTTGAATAGTGTCACCATCATCTAACAGTGACTAAATTAGAAAACTGAGAGTAACTACAATCTCTTCTTCCCTTCTGTTTTCAGTCTGCCCCCTCCATGTCCTACCAATTTTATTTACTAAACATTCCATAGGTCTGTTTCTGTTCTTCCCATCACCTTAATTTGCTTTAATTTGGTGCCAGATTATCTGTTTAGAAGGACTACGAACAAAAGAGCTACCTGATCTCACTATTTAGAGCTATGTCTTCCTTTAGCCCAGTTCTATTAATACGAAACCAGTGCTATTTGCCAATGTACAGTGCCCCACATGCTCCCTTCATTATGCATATCATATAAAGTTCAAGCTCATGACAACTTATTTTTAGGTCTTAAAATGTCTTTCCTCTGTTCACCTCTCCAGCTTTACCTGTCGCCACTCATCATTCTGGAGTTTACATCTAGAAAGGCTAATTTCCTTGTGGTTTCACATAGATATGCTACTTGACTGTTCTCCTTCCGGACTGTCCTTCTTCTTCCTACTCATCTTTTAATATAAAGCTCAAGAATCTCCTCCAATAATCATTCCTAATTATTCCTTTCCCTATCCCTTCCCCTGCAGTTGCCCCTTTTCTGTCCCACTTACACACTGGTACATCTCCATTAGTACCTCTACCATATTGTATTTTAATTATCTGCTTATGTGTTTTTATTTCTCACTAGACTATGCCATCCTTGAGGACAGGGACAAGTTGGCCATATTCATAATTTCATCCTTTGTACTTATTCCAGTCCTACCATATAATTGGTTCTCAATAAATGTTATTAATCTCTATCAATATTTAAATCAGTTTATTAGGATCCATTATTTGAAGCCCCAGATTGAGAAGGGGTCCCAAAGAAAAATGCCAATACAGTAATCTACATCTTGGAACATCTCCCTGAACCTCTTATAGTTATCTCTCCCTCAAATGATGAAGTTTCTGACAATGGAATACATTATTGAGACATATTTTCTCTATTAATGCTCATAGTGATTTTTTGGCAAGAATAGTAAATAGGATAACTCTTCTCTTACTGTTAGTACAACTAGAAGAAGCTCCCTGGAAAGGAAAATATATGAGATTTGTGATTTAAAAGACAGAGGCCAATTAACTTCCTTTCCATTGTATCCAGTAAATACTGAATTACACAAGGCCCAAACAGAGCTATAAACAGAGTGCTGACAGGGATTAGCAATGCTTTCCTCCAGTTTTGTTTACCATAATGAACTGGTCAATAAACATCACAAATTGTTTATCTATATAAATCTTGACAGATTACTCTTTATGAAATCCATTTAGCAAGTGAGGTTTTCCCATAAGGATGAAAAATGAAGATTTTAAACAGATTGTGGAGGAAGCTCTGGCTGTACCTAGAGAGTCAGTGTAATAAAGGTTTCTTTATATTAATATTACAAAAACCATTTATCCTGGCAAAATCAATATCACAATTCATCTTAGTTTGGTGTTTTTCTTTCTATTCTTAAAATGTCTTTTCCTTTATTATGTATAATTTTGTTTAAATAAACGTGAAATATATTTCATTTTGGAGGTGCTCTTGAGAAGGGATCACTTATAAAATGATATCCAACTTGTAGCTTATTTGCTAAGGAGTCTTAGAAATGATTAAAATTACATTTGAGTGGCTGAAAAATTTACAGGAATAATTTTGCTTAAGCTTTAATTGCAGAATGGTCCTCAGTGTCCTTTGGGCAAGAAACAAAATATATTTTTCTAAAAAGACTCCTTCTATGAACTCCACTTAGGCAAAATTCTCTCATACTGAAGTCAAGCAATTATAACAAGTCAGATAAATTGGATATAACAAAGACTGGGACAGAGATTACAAAATCAAGCATAATCACATGTAATTACTCCAAACATGGTATGCTTTCCTAAGAAATTACGTATTTATTCATTTTGAATTCAGAATTTAATATCTCATGATACTGACGGAGCTGAACATGGTATTCTGTGAATAACAATGGACTAGAAGAAAATAAAACTACATTAAGAAAGGAATTATGTTATACACTACAAACTATTACTATATGTAAAATAAGTGTGATTGTCCCATGAGTGAATGCTTATAAAACTGAAATACCCAAGAGACACTTATTCAAGAGTGGTTAAGACTGCCAAAAGAACAAACAAATCTGTGTTGGAAGAAGTACAGCCAGAATGCTCACTGGAAGCCAGGACGGCCAGACTTCATCTCTCATACTTTGGATATGTTATCAGGAAGAATCAGTCCCTGGAGAAGGATATCATGTTTGGTAAAGTGGAGGGTCGGAGAAAAAGAGGAAGACTCCCAATGAGATGGATTGACACAGTGGAAGCAGCAATGGGTTCTAATATGGAAATGATTATGAGGTTGGTGCAGAACCAGGCAGTGTTTCATTTTGTTTTGTTGTGCATAGGTCACTATGAATTGGTACCAACTTGATGACACCTAACAACTATATATATGTGTGTGTGTGTGTATAGTTGTGTATATATATATACACACACACATACATATATAGTTGTATATATACATACACACACACATATCTATATCTATCTATATCTATGTCTATAACTATATCTATCTATCTATCTATATCTATCTATCTATCTATCTATCTGTCTATATATATATATATATATATAAAATTGTTGTTAGGTGTCATCGAGTTGGTACCAATTCACAGTGACCTATGCACAACAAAACAAAATGAAATATATATGTATATAGTTGTATGTATGTGTGTGTGTATGTACCCCAGCTTTCCTCTTATTGTTTATGTTCACCAATATTACATTAAAGACTACAAATAATATGGTCTAGGCAATAGCATATAAAGAAATTTAAGAGCAAAGCAAATATTTTGTAGCTTTTATAATTCCATTTTAATTTCAATGCATAATGCTCTTCAGCTCAAACACTTAAGTAACCCAAACAAAATATCTATTTGAAATGGAGTTCTGATGCAATGTCTGTAGATGAAGGATGGAATATAATTGTTTGCGGGGGGAAATGTCCTTTTATGGTGACCATAAAAAGGACAAGCTACAGTGCAGCTGTTATCAAGAAAAAGTGTATTTTATTTATTCCCAAGGTGATATTAGTCCATAAAGCAAATTTGCAGCTTATTTGGCAGCCTTAGCTTTTATCGGCCTTTTTAAGGGTGTTGAGTGATTACCCAAGAGTTCACACGGTAAAAGTTGAAGTGGGGTAAAGTAACTGTATCCATCCACTATCTTTATTGGAAAATCTAGGTGAGCCCATTTAATGTTGCTTAAATGTACCCTATAGAGAGCCCCCATTTAAAGATGAGTGGTCTTCTTACATGCACTGCTTTTGCTTCTCTAATGCATTATGGTGCCAAAATTGCTTATCCTAATCAATGCCTTTGGCACAGGCTAAGTGATTGAATAATTGACTCCAAGGAAACAGGTTTCAGTTTCTATTACGGCAAAATGCCAGGACAGTAATTTTTACAGGTAACTTTGGGTCTAATAAATTTAAGTCGGAGGAAGTTATCTCATTATACAAGTATTTGTATCCTTAACATCTTTTCATAAATCAGAATAACATTCTAGTTTCCAGTCATTCTGAAAAATGGGTTTAGTTTAGTGCATCAAATAGAAAATGAAAATATAAACTGTATTAAGGAAACATATGTTTTTTTAAACATATGTCCCTCAGACTATAACTCTGTATGATCTTAGTGAAACTTAGTCTTAATAAGACAAATGATAGAATTTCAAGATTTCTTTGTGAGAACAATGGCTATCCTGTCCCATTTTCTATTTCACAACTGGATAGTTTCTTGAAAAGATCACTTTATGGGTACCTAATCTGAATTTTTAGAGTTCTGGTGTGACCCCATACGATAAGCACCGGACAGCTAACCTTAAGGTAGGTGATTCAAACCCACCAGGTGCTCCTTGGAAACTCTATTCATGGTCCCTATGAGTCAGAAATGTCTTAACAGCACTTAACAACAATAAAAATAATTTTTTTTAGCTGACAGGAGAACTGCTTTTATGAGAAAGCAAAATGTACAGTATTTTTTAACAGAACAGCAGGTATTCAAAATAATCAATATGATACCTTTGCCATCAGTTAGTTTACACAGGCGAGGTGTCACATAGGTTTTACCCTGAGGACCTTTATGTGTTTTATCTTATTTTATTTTGTGTTTTCTTGTTTGGCTTGAGCATCCTTTTTAATAAATTGGGTAAAAGCAATGTTATTGACAGGTATAACTTAAAACACTATGAATTATTGATCAAAATACTATTCTTTTTGATGGTGTCTTTGTGTTGTTTTCAGATGCCAGCCTTGCAATTGTCATGTCTCAGGAGCCTTGAATGAAAGCTGTCATTCTGTCACGGGTCAGTGTTTCTGTAAACGATTTGTCACTGGCTCAAAGTGTGATGTGTGTGTTCCCAGTGCAAGCCATTTGGATGTCAACAGTCTATTGGGTTGAAGCAAAAGTAAGTGAACTCTGGCCCTGAGTTGGCATATGAAGCAGTACCATGCAGGAGAAAGTATCTTGCTGTTTTCTTTCTCCACTTAGAACCTATCAGAAAGGCTGAGGTACAATGTAAGGAAATTTATGCAAGAAAAAATATATACTAAATGAAATTTGTGCTATTTTATTGATAAGATCATTTAAATATGTTTATAGCAGGAAATTTACAAAGGTTTGTGGAAATGAAATCACCATAGAGTGAGATCCAATTCCTGGCTTTCCTAGAACATGGACTTTCAACAGAAACGATCAGGATAATCCCAACAAACTGAAATTTGCAGTTTTCTATGACAAATAGAAGATTTATCATTATACATTGTGAGTTTGTATATCATCACCATCTCTCCCCCCAATATATGGGTTATTGTTGTTGTTAAGTGCCATCGTATAGCACTTACATGACTCTGGTTCTGACCCAGAGCAACCCTCTATATGGGTTTCCAAGGAGCGCCTGGTGGGTTTGAACCACCAGCCTTATGGTTAGCAGTCAAGTGCTTATCCTACAGTAACACAACAGGACTACACTGTATAGAGTCTTAATAATGAAATATTTTTTGTTGTTTATTGTTACTATGCTATTATTATTATTTATTATAGTATATTACTTATTCCAGAGTCCTGGTATGATGCTATAGGGTACTGGCTCAAACTTACCAGCTGTTCCTCAGAAACCACGTACAGGGTCTCTATGAGTTGGAACTGACTGGAGAACTGACTTAACAACAATTACTTATTCTAATTTTGATACTCTTTTCTTATTGTATGGAATGTATGGATTAAGTTGTATGGATTGTTAAAACATGTTTCTCATCAATATTGTTGAACTTCTTTAAGCCAATAATGATATATTAGTATCTTTTAACTATCTTACCTCCATACCATTCTTTAATGCCTTCAATTCACCTAGACTCCAATGATTTTATAACATAGTAAAGATTCCTTATATTTCCTTCACAACTGTGTATGCCTACCTGGGGAATATATAGTTAGGAGTCCTCTACAGTATACTATGCAATACATATTCTCCTTGGGGTTTCCAGAGACTGTGTCTAGGAAATGCCACAAATTATGATGGTTGGTTGGTTATGTGCTGTGAAGTCAGTTCCGAATCATGGAGACCCTGTGAAAGGTTTCTGAGGCTGTAAATCATTATGGGAGCAGAAAGCCTCATCTTTCTCTCAGGTTATGATTGTTGTTGTTATTGTTAAGTGCTGTCGAGTCGGTTCCGACCCATAGAGACCCTGTACAGGGTTTCCGAGGGTGTAAATCTTTACGGGAGTAGAAAGCCTCATCTTTCTCTCGCGGAGTGGCTGGTAGTTTCAAACCGCTGATCTTAAGGTTCACAGCCCGATTCGTAACCACTACACTACAGGTTATGATAGGTGCCCACAAACTAGCATTCCTGGAATTGAGCTTTGTTCTTTCAGGGGAGAGAGAAATAAGCAAAAGAAGATTGTATCCATAGCGCTTGTACTAGATTTTTGAGGTAATGGAAGGCAATATATAGTTAATGATTAATATGATTTATTCAGATTTTGAATTGTTGTAGTCTTTCTTCAGTATTTTGTGTTTCCACAACATCACTGGATTTTAGTATATACCATCTGCAAAGGAAAACTTGAAATATTTGTGTTTCTTTTGGGAATAAAAGCAACCTAAACACAAATTCCACCACTTGTCTGTCAGTTTGTCCTACTGTGGTGGCTTGTGAGTTGCTGTGATTCTGGAAGCTATGCCACGGGTATAGCTTATGTGAAGGCTTACGATTGTGTGGATCATGACAAGTTATGGACAACATTGCAAAGTATGAGTATTCTGGAACACTTAATTGTGCTCGTGAGTAACCTGTACATGGACCAAGAGGTAGTTTCTCGAACAGAACATGGGAACACTGGAAGGTTTAAAATTAAGAAAGGTGTACGACAGGGTTGTAGTCTTTCACCATACTTATTCAACCTGTATGCTGAGCAAATTATCCAAGAAGCTGGGTTCTATGAAGAAAAACGTGGCATCAGGATTGGAGGAAGACTCATTAACAACCTGCGATATGCAGATGATACAACCTTGCTTGCTGAAAGTGAAGAAGACTTAACATATTTACTGATGAATATCAAAGAGCACAGCCTTTGGTATGGATAGTGCATGTCAATATAAAGAAAACCAAAATCCTCACTAATGAACCAATAAACAACATTCTTATCAGTGGAGAAAAGATTGAAGTTGTCAAGGACTTCATTCTTCTTGGATCAACCATCAACACTCATGGAAGCAGCAGTCAATAATCAAACAGCATATTACATTAGGCAAATCTGCTGTACAAGACCTTTTAAGCTGTTGGCTTGAGGACTAAGGTGCGCTTGATGCTACCATGGTATTTTCAGTAACTTCAAATGCATGCGTAAGTTGGACAGTGAATAAGGAAGACTGTAGAATAATTGATGCTTTTGATGGCCAAACTTCGTCTCTCACACTTTGGACATATCGTCAGGAGGGACCAGTTGCTGGAGAAGGATATCATGTTTGGAAAGGTGGAAGGTCAGAAAAAAAGAGGAAGACCCCCAGCGAGATGGTTTGGCAAGTGGCAGCATCAGTGGGCTCAAGCATGGAACAATTCTGAGGTTGGCCCAAGACCAGACAGTGTTTTGTTCTGTTGTGCATAGGGTTGCTATGAGTCATTACCGACTCAGCACTTAACTACAACAACAACAAAATACAAATGTGTGTTTTGTTGGGCATTTATTTGGCATTTGTGATTCACTGATTAACTATGTAATGACTTGTTTTGTATGCAACATAAATTTTAGCATATTTCTTTTGAATGTGAATTGTAGATCATCTATCATAGAATTGTGACAGTATTAAATATCACATACCCAATTTTAACTACTCTTGATCAGTTCTACCACGAAGTTTGTATGAAAGTATTGACATCAGTTCTAAATTTTTGCTACCTATATTTCTGCACATGAGACATAGTCTAAGATTTATACACAGGGAAAATGGTATACTCTGGTCATTAAAAACTTTGCCTAAGTTTCTTAGTGGATGATGTTTAAGTACTTCCTTTTCTGGTCTAATCACTGTGGTCTTTCAAAATGCTTCTGATTTGTCATCATTCAAAAAACTTTTGCATCTTTAATTATTATTTCCTGGATATGTTCCTTTTGATTTTCTATCCTTTTAAATTTTTGATACTTAGCATTGAGTACATTCTTTAAACAACGTCTTTGTGTATGCGTGTGTGATTGTTGCTACTGCTGTTTTGTTTAACAACCATTTCTGGTGTGGTACTATAGGGGAAACAATGAACTGCTAGGTTAGTTTGAACTGCAAGGTGGATGGTTCAAATCCACTAGTCAATCCTCAGAAATCCTATACAGTGTCTCTATGAGTCAGAACTGACTCGGTAGTACCAAATAACAATGTAAAAAGTTAGTTCAATTTTGTCAGAAGTAATTCATTACAAAACTTAGGTTGAATTTCTAATTTCAAAGATACTCAGAACAGTCAGCAAGAGTGATAGAAATTCTGATAATATAAGAGAGTGAATGAGGGGAGCAAGTAATGTTGACCTTTGGGCCATGAGTGAAAGGTGTCAGCATTGTTTCCTTTTTCATCTTGGTTTTCACATCATACTTGCTCTTTTTTCTAGCAACGGTTGAAAACTCAATTCACATGCTATTGAAAGGGATGTAGTGCTACCTATTGTTTAAACTGTGAACTACCTCATAGTATTTTACTGTGCCTCCAACAGATATAAAAAATCTATGTTTCCTTTGAAAAGTCAGCATGTGTCATGGCGTCCATGGATTTGTAACTATTATTATAATTTTCCTTTCTTTAGAGGTCACATTTTGGGGGAGGAGTGGCAATAGTGACAGACATTGGGTTGAGAATTCTAGGCTACCCTTTACAGCATCCGGAAACATGAATTTAGATAAAATAGTTAGACGATTTTTTATAAAGTATCATTGAGTCAATTCTGACTTATAGTGATCCTCTATAGAGTTTCTAAGGAGCAGATGGTGGATTTGAATGGCCGATCTTGTAGTTTGCAGTGCTGCTCCTATAGCACCACACCAGGCTCCATTATTCATGGGATTGATTCATTTCTTTCCTATCAATAATTGTTTCATATTGTAAAAAATGAGAGCAATTTCCTTGATTGGAGAAGCAAAGCAAAATAGAAATTAAATAGTTCTGATGTCTTTATGCTTTCACACTGAATGATATTCCAGTTTGCCCTGGGCTTCTGGCCAACCAAAAGTTAACTTTAAAACAATTTCACACATAACTTTAAAACAATTTCACACATAAATACACAGATACCGATATATATGTATATAAAATTTGTTTTTAACCAGTCATACATAACTCGTGTGTTTTAGTTTTGGGGACATTGTTCTCACTATTATGTTTATATTTGGTCATATATCCATCTTTTTAAAATTCACATTTTCCTACATCTGTTACTAGAGCCTCTTAGAACCCTTTTTAAAAGCATCTTTATTGAGGTAGAGTTTCTAGATTAATGAATCAATTTGAAGTATACAGTTTAGTAATTTTTTAGTAGTACAAGCATCACTACAATCCAAATGTAGAATTATCCTATCATTCCAGAAAATAGTTTCTTTTTGTGCATTTTAGTCAACTACCCACTCAAACAAACTTCTATCCCCAAACAGCTAGTTTTTTTGATGCTGTAATTTTGCATTACCTAGAAATTTTACGTAAATGTAATTATGTAATAATTCATATCTTGTGTCTGACTTTTTTTTTTTTTCACTTACCATGTCTCAGTAGATTGTTACTATAATTTCTGAAGAATATTCCACTTTCAGGGTCGCTATGGGTTGGAACACACTTGACTGCACTTAACAACAAAAATTCCATTTTCTTGAAATATAGCATTTTATTTCTTGAGCAGTTGGTAGGCATATCAATTATTTTTGTAGTTGTTAT